AAAAAAAAAAAAAAAAAAAAAAAAAAAAAAAAAAAAGATGAACTGCAAAAAAGTGGGGTGAGATTTGCAAAGGTCTTATTATATAGGAAAGTATTCTCATTTATTGATTGGAGCAGGTCCCAACCAGACTTTCTGCTTTAGAGTCAAGCCTGCATTCTTCCATGTGACGGGCAAATGCTTGGTGTGTGTGGGGCTGACAGAAGGAGGCGGCCAAGTGGAAGATGGCCCCTGCCCTCAGGCAGCTCTCAGGCTAGGAAGGAACTAGGAAAAGTCTAAAAGTTGAGTCTAAGGGACTTCCCTGGCAGTCCAGTAGTTAAGGCTTCGCCTTCCAATGCAGGGGGTGTGGGTTCGTTCGATCCCTGGTCAGGGAGCTAAGATCTCACATGCCTCGCGGCCAAAAAACCAAAATGTAAAACAGAAGCAATATTGTACAAATTCAATAAAGACTTTTAAAATGGTCCACATCAAAAAAATCTTCAAAAAAAATAAAAGCTGAGTCTAAAACTTTCCCTCTGCTTGGTAAACAGCTTTCCACCCACACTCCTAGAGCTTCTACTTCACAAGCTCCTAGTTAGTGCTGATTATTTCATTGCACAGACTGTACTGAGTGCTTGCCCTGGGACTTTGTGCCAGGGAGGTGGGCTCTAAGATGAGTGAAATATGGTCTGTGATTCTCAGACTGAGTATCTGAAAGGCTTGCTGGAGACATGTTTGTACTGTAGAGAAGCCGAGAGTGCAGACCTCATTCTAGCCCTCAGGGAGTCAGAGTGTGGTGGGGAGACACAGGACCAGGCCCAGTCCTGTCCTTTAGAGGATCCCCATCTTTGGAAGTCAGTGCTAAACAGGGCTCTCCTCCCTCCACCTAGGTAACGTGAAGCACCTGGTTCTTTTCCTCCACGAGGCTGTCCTGGTGCAGTATGTGGACACACTCAAGCTCGCAGTGCCCTCTCTCATCTACACCTTGCAGAATAACCTCCAGTATGTTGCCATCTCCAACCTGCCAGCTGCCACTTTCCAGGTGAGCCCCAAGCCCAGGAACTGGCTGGGGTGGGGGATATAGGATGTTGGGGAGGGAGGGCTGCAGAGAGCGGGGGCTGTGTTTCCTCCAGAATGTCCTTGGATCTTCCTCAACCTCGGTTTCCTCATCTGTGAGAACTGGGAATGGAAATGGTAATAGTAGCTACTCACTGAGATGATTAAAAGAAGTAATATCTGGGAAGAGCCCTTGGTTGGTGATGGATAAGCTTTAGGCTATTTACAAGCAACCTTTAAGATGGTTAAAGAGCCTGGATTCTGGGGCCAGGCTGCCTGGGTTCAAATCCCAGCTCTGCTACGTTCCAGCTGTGTGATATTGGGCAAGTCACTTAACCTCTCCAGCTCATCTTTAAATTGGACATTACAATAACACACTTCATATGTGAGGATTAAATGAATTCATGTGAAGTGCTTAGACCCACACCTGGCACATAGTAAGCTCTATGTAAATGTTTACTGACGTCATTTCATGGCTGATTCATTTGTATCAACACATCCTTATCAAGACCTCCCTCATCAGGATGTTTACCATTCATTCATTACCTGCTGTGTGAGGTGCTTCACATACATCAGTTGTATTTACAGATGGTATGTCAGGGCTCAGACAGGGCAAGTGCTTTGTCCCTCGTCACACAGCTAGGACATGGGGTTGGGATGTGGACTTGGGTGTGGCCCAGGACGTCCTTGCACAGCCATCCTCCTGTGTACTTTCTGGGAGGCACCTCAGAGCTATTTAGCCGCATCTCAGTCAGTGGCCAGTGGCTGGATATTTTTGCTGTTTTTATGGTTATCTACCCCACCCTGTCCCTCCATTGTGCCTGGGGGCCCACAGTGGGTGCCGTCCCCAAAATGTACATGTTGGGGGTCGGGAGCAGCCCTCAGTGTCTTCCACATGCCACTCGCAGGTCACGTACCAGCTGAAGATCCTGACCACGGCACTGTTCTCCG